TGCCATGTAATGGGAAGTGCAATATTTCAAAAGAAAGCATTGTACTAAGCAGAAATCATTATTTTGTTAACTATCACCCTCTTTCCCTGGTTCTGCTTTGTGGAACTATTTAGGAAAAAAAAAATCAGTCCTTCTTGTACATAACCTGTAAAACATTAAGTGGTGCCTAAATTGTTTCTTTCCTGTGTTAAACATCTTTAATCTCTCAAACCACTCCTGTGCCAGGAGAACACTAGGGAATCTTCTGTTCAGACTAGAGGGTGTATCAGTCATTTGCCAAGTAACAATCTTGCCTTTGCCTTGAAAACAGGAGTTTTATCAAATATTATAAAGGTAATTTATCAAAATTAAGACAGAGGGAAGGAAATAGAAGCATATCATGTTTGCCAAGACCTTTATCAAGGTCCAAAATTAATAAAGATATAAATGCATATCATTCTTATTCATCTGGACCAGGTCATCTAAGTCTTGAGGAAATAGGGAGAGGCCATATCCATAGATCCTGGCTCTAGATGAGTCAGAATCTGTTCTCTCTGATATATAAAGAGAACCAATTAATTAGAACTTGGCATTGGGCCAAAATAACCCTAAAATAGTGACTATAGAACATAATGTCCAAACCTTTGTCATCTGATCCTAGATTTCTGAAAATTCTCTAGTTTGTTGTTTGTTTTGTTTCTTGCTATCTTTTTGCTAACAGAAAATCCGTCTAGCATAAACCATCTCTGAGCCTCTTAGAATATAACTCTATGAATTAAAAGAAAAAATTTCTTTCTTCATGCAGCCCAGAGATACTTCCATGGATTTCTTTGTACTAGAATTTCCCTTCTGTGGTGGAAAGGCTGAGGGACAAGTCATGATTCTGAGGTAATTTCAGGATAGTGGCAGAATGGGTAAATGAGTTTTACTCTCCAAGAAAAAGGGAACAATTAGATGTAAGAATGAAATGCAGACTTAAGGGGGATTAGCCAGAGAAGGGTCTAATTATGGCAATGCAACTCAGGATCAAGCCCAGAGATGGAGTTTGGAGGTGAAACCAGTGCTCAGAGTAACAGGGTATATAGGACTTCAGTAGCACTAGGTCAGGGTAGCAAGAGAGCCATCCTAGGCAAAACTACGTGTAGGATCGAGGTGCTGTCTACGGTTAGGTATTCTCTACTGTGTGTTGCTAGAGATAGCTGGACACTTTGGATTTTGTATATTTGAGAAATTCAGGCTAAGAAAAGATTTCTGACCGAACTACTTCTTTGAACCCTTCTTCACATGGAGACTCTAGAAGAGATGTTTTAACTACATACATAACTATGTACATACATGCACACATACATACTTGCATATACATACAAGCAGAGGAGATATATCTAAGTGTGTGTGTGTGTGTGTGTGTTTAACTTCTGAGGTTATCTAGATTATGTGAAACTATTATGTGAGCCCTCAATCAGTTACTGCTCTTAATGTCTACTTAACGATATTTTAAAACTTTGGTTTCCTTTAAGGATTATATGTGTGAATATATTTCCAAAGTCCTACTGAAAGTATTACTGAGTATGGAAGGCCATGTCTATTATGCCTTTGGACCTAATTTATATCATTTTTACAAAGAGTGAAAACAAAACACAACAACATCACAACCTTATTTGATCAGATTAGTTTCCTAAGATTTTCATAACAAAATATCACAAATTGGGTAGCTTAAAACAATAGAATTTTTTTCTGGAGGCCAAAAGTCTAAAATCAAGGTATTACCCAGGCTATGATCCATCTAAAACCCGTTGGGGAGAATCCTTCTTTGCTTCTTTCTCGTTTCTGGTGATTTTTTTGGCAGTCCCTGATTTTGCTTAGCTTGCATTTGCAATAATTCAACCTCTGCCTCTGTCACTGAAGCGGGAGAACGAGATTCTTGTCTCATAGAATCAAAGAATGAATCTTGTGGACAAAGGAGAGTGAGTAAAGCAATAGAGTTTTATTAAGCAAGGATACAGAAATAGCCCTCAAGAATGAGAGGGGTTCCAACAGGGTTGCCACTAAGGACTTTTAGGGTTGGTCTTTTATTGAGGGCTAACCAGGGAACTTAAATCCTTTTAACATCTCTATTGATAGCACCATTGAGTACACCTTCAATGGTTTACTTCCTTTTTAGTGTCCGGTAATTCTGGTAATTCTTTGTTGGTCACAATTAGCTGTTGTAACAAGACCCCACCTCTGACACCTAGGATTGTATGGTCTGGTTTGTTTCCTTATCTCTGGTTTCCTTTCACCTCTGCTTTTTTGGAATTTCTGTGAGCCTGATCCAGTAGGTCCCTACCTATCTCTCCCTACCTAGCTCTGCCTGTCCCTTACTCATCATTACATGGCATTCTTCTGTATGTCTCTGTCCAATTTGTATTCTCTTCTTACAAGAATACTAGTCATATTAGATTAAGGGCCCATCCTACTCCAGATGACTTCATCTTAACTGATTAATTTGTAATGACCCTGTTTACAGTAAGGTCACATTCCAAGGTATGGGGGTTGGGACTTCAACATATCATTTTAAGGGTCACATATCAACCCATACATAACACTGATCTTGTTTCACGTCAGACTAGCTTATATGGTAGTAACAAAGTCCAAGATATATGTGGCTTACAGTAACAAAGACTTGTATCTTGTTCATGCTAGATGATGATACTCTGCTTATCATAGTCACTTAGGGATCCAGGCTAATGGAGTAGTAATCATCTCAAAAGTTGCCAGTCACTGTTCCAGAGAAAAAAAGAGCCTGGCAGGGTCTCACAATTGGTTGTTGAATATCCATCAGCCCAGGGGAGCCAGGAATGTAGTACCACCATTTGGCCAGAGGCAGTAGGATCAGAACACCACTCTTGTCAGATGCTTCCAGCCAAAAGGAACAGAAAACATAGCTAATATTGGCTTAAATCTCAAGGTCATTTTTTATTACTTAGCAAGATTTTCAGTGATTAGAAGTCATGAGATTCATTTGTTCACTTTATTGATCAAGAACCCAGGAGTCTATCTATATATCTATATTTCTACACCTCTCTCTCTCTCTATATATATATATATATCTATCTTCCCCCCCTTCCTTCTCCTCTCCTTTCTCTCTCTCTTTCTCTCTCTTTATTTCTCTCTTTCTCACTCCCTTCCTCCTTCCCTCTCTCCCTCCAGGGCTGGGTTGCAACCAGTTATCACCACGGGTGAGCTAGGTTGCCATCATTAGCTTGGACCCATCCTGATATATTCCTTGAGGCCAAGGATGTGTCCACTCAAATTGAATTGGTGCTATTTGCAAGGACAGAGTGAGTGAATTTGTGAATTGCTGTAGAATAGGAACAAATATATGCCACAAATGATGAAGTTCAGATTTAAACATTCTCTTATAGCATATGCAATGGATGGATGGCTGGGTAAAAAATAGTTTTTCTTAACTTCAATTTTTCAGGTTAAGAAATAAGCAAAATTTGGATGTGGGCTTTAGTTGGCTGATACACTTAATCGAGTAATTTAGTAATTGTTCATCAAATAGTAATGATTATTATTATAATTTCTTCCATGTGCTTAATACTTATGTATATTATCATATGCTTTTTTGTTTCTCGGAACAAAAAAAAATGTCATGATTAAGTTAGGGAGTGGGAATTATCCTTTACCTTTATTTAAGAAATAAGAAAACAAACATGCTATGAATAGGACTGAGTTTGGAATTTCCTAACCCATACCAGTGCATTTTCCACCATTTCCTCATGCCTTCTCTTCTGTGCTTTGTCCATTTTTATATAATGCATATTCTGAAAATAAACCCCCTGGGACCAATTAAATAGCCCATATGGTTAATCTTTACATTTCCCTTGAGCCAAAGCACAACTAAAATTACAGACTACTATTTTGGAAATAATTGAAATTTCAAGGAAATAAACTCTATCAAATGTTTTTTGTGTTTCAAATGAGAACATAAGATTAGATACCAAATAGTAAACTATAGAGATTTAAAAATATGTCTGATTTCATTAGATTTTGTATTGAAAAGTCTGCTTTTTAAAGAATATATATCTACATATATTTGTGTGATGTGACTAGCCCCTAAGCCATCATTATAAAGAGCTTTAACATTTTCTTTAGAAATGCCATGGTTATCACAGTCACTCAAGAGTGACTCCACACTTTTGATTGTTCAGAATTGCAACAAAAGCAACTCTAACTCCAATAGGATTTTATCATGCTGAGGAATCTCAAGGCATTTTGAAATCATATTAAAAATAAAATGTGAGTCAAACTTGAAATGTTTGTAATTCATGAAAGGTTGATGAGCAGGTCTCAGCACCAGCATCATGATCAATGTTAAGTGCTTGCCTGTGGGGACTGTAGCATCATTGCTAGATACCCGGGACAGTCGTGTCATACAAAACAGAGACAGCGTGTGTCCCTGCTTGACAGATGCTGATAAAATGGTGACAAGAATAACAAGTGACTAAAGAGATATTGTTATGCCAAAATCCTCTGTCTGGGACAGCACAAAGTGGTATAAACATCAGCTGTAATGGTCCATGATCCCACCCTCAAACCAATAGACACTGTCATGCCCTGCAACACAGACAAGTAGTATTGAAAGGCAGAAATTCCAGACCCTACCAGCAGAGAAGATGGGTAGTTGGTAGAGGTGTTGATGGCATCGGGGCCAATATATAGGAGCAGCTTCAAAAAGACTGAGTGTTGGAGCTAGAGAAGCAGTTTAGTCAGGAATAAAGATTTTGACACATGTCAGCAAAAAGTTGACAGGAAATAAGATACAAGTAAAGAAATCCAAAGAATGCCATGAATTCTGCATATCTGCTCAAGATGTGTCTTCATGGCTGGCTGACTCAGGGCCTTACAGTAAACCCTAAGGAATGATGTGTTGAATTAAAAAGTTGGTCTTTAAAGAAAACACAATTATGTGAAATTATGTAGCAATAATAGAATTTATGATTATTTTTCTTTCTTTTTTTTTTTTTTTTCCTTTGGTTTACTGTCCTTCTTGTTTACTGACTATAAAGGAGAAAAGAGGCTGTGTTTTAGTGGCTATGTCCTCAGTACAAAGACTAGTGCCTTTTAGGTAGAGCAAAGCCAGAGGGAGTAAGGAGACATCATTTCTAGGTAATCAATGAGCAATGTTTACTAAAGGGAAAGAAAGAGCCTTCTTGGATGACAAGGATAAGCTGCATTCTCAGATGGAGTCTGGACAGACAAAGGGACTGATTTTCATCTGTTGTTCCAGGTCTAGAGCAGTGTTTACCTGATGGCCACAGTGGGGACCATGGACAACTTCTGGCTGCTAACACCGAATGTTCCTCCCCATGATATCTCTGCAGGTATGGCCTTGCCATCTTAAGCCCCACCAGCACTCATCCTCTATTTCTTTCTGTTTTCTCTTTTCTCCATTACTTGGAAATCTTCTGCTGATAGTAGGGGGTGGGGATCATAGTAAAAAGAAATAAAACATTCTGCCTTGCCTTCTCTCACAGCTTATCTCTCTCATTCATCATACTGTCGCCACACTAGCCTATCTTCATATTCTTAAATATTTCAATCCCTTAGAACACGGCACCTTCACATGTTCTGTTCTACTTCATAGATCACTCTTTCCTCCCCCAACGAAGCTGATACTTCTCTTCCAAGCTTCAGCTACGATGCCATCCCTTTAAGAAAATCTTTCCAGATTACACAACTTGAAGTGGATCATGTCTTCCTATTTCTCACTCTTTTTCATAGCACTTTTTTTTCTTCTTATATAACATTTATTACAATTTTCAATCATATAGTTTGTGTACTTGATAGTTTACTGTATGTTTTTTTCTCATTACCATAAGTTCCATGAGGTTAGGGACTAGGGACTATGTTGGTCTTGTTCAGTACTTTATAATCTGAGCCTAGGACAAATGGATGATTAATAAATATTTGATGAAAAAACACACAACAAACACAGATATATCCAATATCCAATCTCCCCTTCTCTCCTACTAATACAACCCCCATTTGGGGCTTCTTTGTTTGTTTGTTTTTTGTGGGGTTTGTGTGTGTGTGTGTGTGTGTTGTTTGTTTGTTTGTTTGTTTGTTTTTGCAGTTCTGCTATTTATTATGTGCCCAGTTACTGTACTTACTTCTCAGTACTGCCTTATATGAGAATTACAGTGCTGTTTTTCCAATTTAATGTAAGTCAAATTATACTGCAAAGGGTATTGTATTTCTCTTTTGCCCACCATATGTCCACTGGAACATGGATATAATTTCTCAAAGAGGAGAAACCATCATAAGAAGCCATCGTAAGGGCATGAGTGAAAAAGCCACATGCTAAGGATAATAGAGCAAAAACTCATAGAGCAGTACGTCCTTAATGGTTTCCTTGAATACTCAAGGCTTGGGCTCTGCCTCTGGAGTTCTTCATACATAAGAAAAGTCAACCTTTACTTACTTAAGCCAGTATAGTGATGTTTCTGTTGCCTACAATCCCAATTCAAATGTGATTTTAGGACAGTCACTCCATATCTAAAGGTCCTAGTTTAATTATTTTGCCATTGGATTAGACAATTTCTAAGATCAGTGTTTCTAATATAGACTTTTCCCTTAAAAACATAAATTATCCAAACATTGGCATATCTTTGAATTTAAATTGCTCCTTTAGTTTTGAAAAACAATGTGATATGTGAATTTTTGAATAACTATGTATAAGACAATGTGCTAGATGGCTTAATTAACAATATTTCCTTTTTAAATCATATGTTATACATTTCCCCCATTTTCCATATTTTCCCTGCATTTTTTAAGTATCAATATGTCATTAATTTAAATTATTGTGATTAGTATTCATGCAAAGACTAAAAGGCACAGTTATAAAATTTACTTTTATGCAATCAAACATTATTTCTTCAGCAAATTGTACTGAAGACCAGGTAGTGGTAGGGCAGAGATGTGAAATTTGAAGCTGTGGTTCCAAAGTGCTGATTTAAATATCAATACTAATCAAGCTATATTTGACTCACTTGGGAAACTTTACTGTCCCATCGCCCAACCCCATGCAAAGTAAAGAATTTAACTTTGCTCAAACAGAGGTCTAGCTTTTGCTCTTGGTTTCTGGGAAATAATGTCTAAGCCCTTGGAATGTTATGCCTGAAAGGAGTCTTTCTTTGTCTGTCGGGCTTGAGCCCATCTGATAATAATAATAATGTGATTTAGGGTGAGGACTTTGGGTGTCAAGTATTATCTTGACCTCCTGAGGGTCTGGAAACTGAGATCAGCCATGCTGGCAACCAGCCTTACCTATTTTATGGTGCTCCAATAAAGATGCTGGACACCAAAATTCAGGTGAACTTACCTGGTTGACAAGTCTATGTGTATTCCCACACCTCATTGCCAACAATAATTAATGCTGTCTGTGATTCCATGTGGAGAGGACATCTGGAAGTTCCATGTTTGGGGCTCTTTTAGGCTGTGCCCCATGTATCTCTTCCCTTGGCTGGTTTTGGTATATATACTTTTTCTGTAATAAACCATACTGTGATTATAATAGCTTTCAGTGAGTCTGTGAGTCCTTCTGGTGAAATATCAAAATTTAGGTTCATTTGGTATTATAAGGGAAGGTAGTCTTTGTGGGCCATGTTCCCTAAATTTGCAATAGACTAATTATTGCATACCAAGAAATCTGATTTAGTAGGTCTAAGCTGTTTATAGACACCCTGATTTGGAAATCATGTTAGGAGATAAGTTGTGTTAAGCAGTTAAGAAAGAGCCATTTCTATATTAATAATTCTATATTAATAAAACCATACATATTGACAATAAGCATTTATTTTATTTATATACCATGTTTGTGTGTTTGTGCATGTAATGGTAGCTATGTGGATAATCATGATCATTTCTGTGTTTAAACAAACCCAATGGGAATCCCTCTTGGGAAAATATTTGGTTTGATTAGGTAGAGTTATTAAAGGTACTTGAATAAATAAAACATAATTTTCCTTATAACAATTTTAGAGAGAAAGAAAGAAAAAATGTAGTAAAAAAATGTGAATTCAAACTTTACTATGTAGCTCAACCACTTTATATCTTAGTAAGTGAGGTAATGGTTTAGAAAGACAATGTGTGAAATGTAAATCACAAATAAAAATACAAATACTACTTAAGTGCATACAAATGCTATTTAAGATGTCTTTTAAATTTACGTTTCTTCTCTGACAATTCTTTTACATTTTTAAAAGGGTTCCCATATTACCAAACTGCTCTAGGGACACATTTCTTTCTATTTTTGTTTTACTTCTATAATGAATTTAAACTTTACTTCTATAATGAATTTAAACTTAACCTATATACTCATTCTTATAACCCAGCCTTGGCATCCAAGCTTTTTGTATAATTCCATCAGCAGGAAAGTAAAAAAGCCAGGGCCCTGTATTCAAAGATTATTATCATTTATAATTACATAAAGAAAAGAAAATGATTACATTAGAGGGTAAAATTTTTTAAACTACTTTGCATGTTGCCTGCTGTCTTCCTGTTAGTTTATGCCAATAGGGGGCATTAGGGATGCTCTCAGAAAACAACAGAAAAGTAGCAGGAAAATAAGACTGGGAGCAACCAAAAATGGTTACTTATCTAGCCAGTTGCTACTGTGGGAGCTAAACCTGCCTGGGGAACTCTGCAAATCCATGTAGAACACATGGTTCAGCATTATCTCAGAAAAGGACAAGAGAGCTGGAATATTTATACAGAACCTCGTGTCAGTCATTGGTTGATAGCTATTGCTAGGAAACAATTTCCCAGCCTTTCTGAGCCGCTGTGCTGGGAGATAGAAAGATTTTGGGGCTCTAGAGAAAGCCTTCAAGCAGTTAGAGGTCAAACCCACCTTGTACTACAACAGCAAGGTATGGATAGGGCATAAACAATGTTTATTATATGGCTGATACATACATGGTATCAGGAATGGTTGTAGGAAAACAAACAAAAAGGTGGAGTTCCATGATTAGTTTAGCTGTATTCTTGGTTTCAAATGCAATGGGAAATGGTGCTTTAATAACCCATGACATGCAATGGCATTCTGACTAATTGGAAGATCACCTGTAGTTTGTTGAAACCAAGTGCCTGTTAAAAAAGAAATACCTCAGCAGACCATTTAGCTTGTGCTCTGTTAATCTATGGCCATGATGAAGACTGCAAAGATTGTCTGAATGCACTCAAGAGGTAAAAGAAGGAAGCCACTGTTAAGCTCAGAATTTTAAACTCTCATTTCAAATCACAGTCAGAGGCTGAACTTTTCGGTCGTGGCCCTAAAATGATCTCTTAGTTCTGGTAGTAGCAGGCCAACCTAAATAAAAACCAGGCCCAAAGGTAATTTTACTAGTGATGGAGTTTTAATGGAAGTTGAATTCACAACCTTACCGTGCTACTTAAGTGAAAATAAGGGCATATTTTAGCACAGATTGAGATCCAGAAGCTTAGAAGAAGGACATCTGTCTATATTGAAACAAACTTGAGGATTCTGAATCCATAAGTCCTCTCTGAGATATACCTGAGTCATCCTAATTTGGGAACCATGGAACATCACTTAAGTAAGTTAGTTTATAAAGGGTTGTCTGTTTTTCTCAGGACACATTCCAACAACTCTACTGCTTCTCGACCTATAACTACAATGAGATCTTATGTTCCAGAGGGACAAGTGTCAAGCCTGACCTGAGATGAAATAGCTTATCCTTCAAAAAAGTGAAAGAGATTACTAATTCATTTCAGTAGAAACCTATGGAATATGGGTGGGAATGAATGTCAAGGGAATCAATCCAAAGAGGCAAGTCTATATATTGGATCTTTGTGAGTATATCAATGTGACTGCGTTTACCAGAGTTCAGAATTATTATGTTATCTCACACAATAGGAAACACCTCAAACATTTGCTTTGGTTGATTGGAAATTGGACTCAATAACAACTCACATTCATTAAGACTGAAATGTCAAAAGTTCCCTAGCCTAATCCGGGGGATAAAATGAAACAGCTTAGGGAAATGGAAATGGTGGAGTTGAGGTTTCACATGTGAATGGCAAACATCCTCCCCCAATCTCACACACACACACACACACACACACACACACACACACTCACTCACTCACTCACTCACTATATCCCCAGAGAAAAGTCAGTGGACACTTTTTTTTTTTTTTTTTAATGAAAACATTGAGAAAAATATTAGTGAGGGGGCATCACATCCTCAAAGACATCTCTGGTAGCTGTCCTTTGTAGGCTGGGAATGACAGTGGCAGGTGCCATCACAGAGACTGGCTCTCTGATCTTGATTGGGTTAATGGGACACTGGGGTGGCAGGGGGTA